TAGGAGGGAATCCATGCCTATCACAGTAAACTTAGTCACATATCCCTGGCTGGACTGGCCATAGCCTCTAGAGAAGAAACCACTACTTCCATTTTCCTAAACCAATACGAATTTGACTATATCCTAAACCCTTACATTTACAGATAATTGTAACTTTCACCCCAATCAAAGGAAGTTCTTTTTTGTAGCAGGTGGAGACTGTTAGAGAGATCCACAACTGGTCAAAATACAGAAAATATGTGGCCATATGTGTTCCCAGCTTCAGTTGATACATCTATAACACAGTCTCTATACATAAGAAAATCATGGAGAGGGATTAGAAAGATTATAATAGCCAGAGGACCAGGATGTGTGCTGCCAGATGGTGTCTTCTAGACCTGACTGGTGAGCTGCACCCATGAAATCCCAACAGTATTGTTGCCTAAACAAGACTTGCATAATGACAGTACCAGTTGACATGTCAACATGGATGGAGAAAATTTCACAATGTTCCACCTCTAGATGAAGAATTACAGGCAATCAATGGCTTCTGAGAGAGGAAGAACAAATTTTCTTTAGGGACAAGTCTCCTGATAAATTTTCCAAACCCAGGTGAGTTCAGAGCAAGACTAACATGCTTATATATATGTGTGTGTTTATGTATATGCATATATGTATGTATGTGTGCATGCATATGAAAAATAGCAATAAAGAGTAAGTCATAGATTTGAGAGGACTTGGGGCATGAGAGAAATTGGAAGGGAGGGAGAGGAGTGGAAATAATACAAACAGTAACTATTGTATGAAATTCTCAAAAAATATTGAAAAAAATGAATTAGAGATCAAGAAAGTATGTTTAAAAGCTAATTTTAAACTAATTTTGAAAACTTTGTTTAATCCTTGAATCTCATTGTGAACTATATCGTTTGCACAATATAATTTAAAATGTCACAAAATCATACACATTGTATCAAGAAATTCAAGTGTGTAGGTCTTTTTCAATGCCTGAACCCACATCTGAGTATGTACTGTCTCTTATGTTTGATAGTTAAAAACAATTACATTAAAATTTTTATTTGATTTTAAATTGTGTGTATGTGTGTGTGTGTGTGTGTGTGTGCACATGTGAGTGCAGGTGCCTGAAGAGTCCAGCAGAGGGCGTCAGATCTCCTGGAGCTGGAGTTCCAGGTGGTTGTGAGACACCTGATGTGGTGCTAGGATCCAAAGTCAGTCCTTCTCAAGAGCCATCTTTCCAGCCCCGTATCTTGCATAATAAGCACAGACTTTGTTTCATTTGGACTCATCCTGAAATTCTTAACTAGCAGCACATATATAGATCTTGGCATCATGTAGGTGGGGGGTCCTTAAGTTGGAAGCTCCTCAGGCGAGAGCCTGCTGTTTCTCTAACCACTGCTGACTGAAGGAGTATAAATATGTAGCAGTGTCAGAGCAAGTAGGGGGAATCTAGCTAATGGATAATGAACTTGCTGGGAGATCTGGAAGTTCCTCAACACCTAGGTATAAAGCCTGGGTGTGGTCGCTCATAACTCTTCCCCCACCACTAAGGGTACAGGGTTAGGGAGTGAGAAGAGGATCCTAGGACTCACTAATGGATGGTCATCCACTGTCCCAAATTATAAGGTGGAGTGTCCTAAAGGAAGACACCCACCCACAGGCACACGTACTTTCATTTACACCCATATACCACACACACACACACACACACACACACGCATGCACCCATGTGCACGCACACACACATAGGCACTTATACACACAGAATATTTAGTACTTGAGGACTTGACTAAGCGAATTTAAAGACTCAAACATTTTTTTTTGGGCATCCAGGCACATACCTGCTGCTGTTGTTACCCAGGAGACTGAAGCAGGAGTCCAGTCTCATGAAATTAGAAAGACCCTGCTTAAAATACATGAAAAATGGGCTGGGTAGATGATCCAGTGGATGAATGACTTGCTGAGCAAGAATGAGGGTCTGAGTTTGAAACTCCAGAGCTGATGTTGTATCTGGGCAGTGTCAACATGTGCCTACACTCTCAGCTCTCCTACAACAAGATGGGAGGCCCAGACAGGAACATCTTTGGAAGCCACAGAGCCAGATACTGTGGGAACTCCTTCAGCCAATAGTCTTTAAGATACTAGCCCGCTTTGGCCATGGTCACATGTACTATATCTGAGATGTAAAAGTGTGCATGGCCCCTTTGGCTGCTAGATTCCAGTTCCAGTTCCAGTTCTCCGCTCATGCAAAGGACTGCTGATCTGTGTGTCTACCCCTAAATAAAGAAACATTTATTACACTCCTTTCTGGGCTAGTATGGGACTATTTTATTATAACTACCACAGAGTGGTACCCAATGTGTGGCCCAAGTCCACGCCTACTGGGACTGGCCCAGAAGGTCTGCAGCCTTCTCCAAGTGAGGCTTGATCAATCCGTGTGGCTTGATCCCACCTACTAAGCCGTTTCTTGCCAAAACCCCTCCATAGCTGAGCTACACCTTTGGCACGCAGCTGCAAACCATTCTGTTGGTCCGCTGTTGCGCAGTGACTTGGCATTTTACCAATGGCCTGCTGCATATGCTTTTACATCTGTATGTACAGTATATGTGGCCATGCCCAAAGCAGGCAGTATCTTAAAGGCTATGGGATGAAGGAGTTCCCACAGTGGCCAGATAGCTTGGTTGTACCTAGTGGTGCATGACAGAAAGAGCCCCTGCCTCAAACAAGGTAGAAGCTGAGGACCAGCAGCTAAGATTGTCCTCTGACTTCTGCATGAGTGCTGTGGTATGCATGCACCTGCACTCACACACACAAACATGTGTGCACACATATACATACATAAACATACACGAAAAAAGACTAGATATTAGCTCTTTGGTAGAATGCTTGCCTAGCATGTATGAGGGCCTGGCATCAATTCCTAGCTTTACAACACATAAATGCTTTTGAAATAGCACGCTGGGATCGAGAGCTAAACAGTAGCCGGTGTTTGTAGACTGCTAAGTGCCTCAGGTACTGGGCCTAAGAAGCTGAGGCAGCCATGATCATCTCACTTGGAGTGCTTCCATCCTTTCGTAGGCAGTGGTGGTGGCCTTTGCTCCTCAGACCTCATGGCAGGAAACCCGGTAACTGGCAGCTGACCACAACATCACGGAAGCAGGGTATACTGGAGCACCCACACCCCTTCTTTAAAATGACCCACGTGACAGGTTTCTGAAGGATGGTTTATCTGGCAGGTGACAGTGAGCAATGGTTTGATCACTTGGGCTTTGTTAAGCAGCGGTGAGGTCATGCTTTCAGAATGCTGGAGTGTGGTCCATGACCTTTTCTCCCCTGCTGCCTCGAGGACTGGTGCTGTCGCTTGTTCTTGTCTCCGGGGAGTAACTAGACCAGGCCAATTGCCCTTGCTACCCAAATACAGTTAGTTCCCAAGCCAACTCTGGGCCATGATGTTCTTTCCAGGTAGTTTTTCATGCAATGAGGCCATAGCCCAAGTCTTATTGCCCCCAATAAGTTACCTAAGCTCTTGGTTATGGACCGTGGGATGATGACTTATCTCTGGCTTGGTCCATGCTTTAATCTGCAGCTGGATTCTTATGAGTATTTTATGAGTTTTAAAATGCAAAGGGAAGGAGGCTGTCCCACACAGTAAACTATCCTGCAGAGATCAGTGATTCATACCAGCTGTGTTATTATTGTTATTATTATTTTATTTATTTCTTCCCAACAGCCAACAGCTTGTTTCCAGTTCTTAGTGTTTTAAAAACAGCTCACTGACACAAATCCTACTCACTTAGCTACAAGCCCCAGTTCACTATGGAGAGGAGGGGAGCCATTCAGTCTCCTCATGTGTGAGTCTCGTCACACTCAAGGAACAAGGCCAGCGAGGGGTCTGCTGTAATAATTCATAGAGGAAGAGTTGGGTGTAACCGGACATTTCTCTCCAGCCTGCCAGTTCCCAAATAATCACTTAGAGGCATAATACTAATTACAAGCTGCTTGGCCGAATAGCTCAGGCTTATTATTAACTAGCTCTTACAACTAAATTAACCCATTTCTATTAGTCTATATTTTACCACGAGTCTTGTTCCTTTTTACCTCACACCCCTTTGCTTCCCCAGGCAGCTGCCATGTCTCTCTGACTCTGCCCTACTTCTCCCTGTATCTCTGCTTGTATTTCCCGCCTGGCTCTATTCTGCCTAGCTGTTGGCCAAATCAGTTTCTTTATTAACCAATGGTAGTAAAACATATTCACAGCACACAGAGGGATATCCCACACCAGTTGGGGCCTAGCGGGTGCTGGAATATGACACCCCAGGATTAGTTTGGATTCCCCAGTACAGAGCTTGTAGCAAAGACATTGACAGGCCGATTGTAGTAAACTCCTGAGCTTGGCATTGGGTCAATGAAGGAGTCAGGGTACTTGTTCTATGTACAGGAAGTTTGTCAGATTGTGGTCCTGGAATCAGGAGCAGAGACCCAGTTGGGGGAAAGAATAAAAAGCGAAGCAATGTGTTTAATTAAGTTCTACAAATCTGTTACCTTTCTGTCAATATTGGGAAATAAAACAGGATTAAACTCAAATAACTCACTAAGGAATAAACCAAGCTTTGCCAGGGCCCTTCACTACAGCCTGGGAACAAATGCAGTCTAGATGACCACGGAGTGTAGAGATGGCAGCCCAGCCTGGTGACCAGACATGAATTCTGGGTTGGCATGAGCAGACTCAGCATTCCCGCTTCTCCACTATCGGCTGCCAGAGCCAGTGCAATATTTATTGCCACGGCTGATTAAATGATTGAATGAATGTGAATTCAATCATTTCAGCCAAAGAATTTTAGCTGTTACGCTACGGCTGCCACAAAGGTTGTCTCGCCTCTGTTCCTGAGAGTCCCCTCCAGTGAGTTTTCACGTTCTTGAGGTGTGGCCTCACGCATCTTCCCAGTGATTGCCCCCGACACCTGAGAGAGCACCTGGCCCGTTAGTGGAATCACACACACGCTGGATTGAAGGAATACATTTCTACTATTTATTTGATGTTCACAATGGTTAGCATTGATGACTCGACAAGATCTGGAATCACCAGGTCATAGATGTCAGGCATCATCTTGATTAGATTAGTCTCTGGCCCATGCTTTCAAGGGAGGGCCATCCTTAGGTTTGTTGAGGTGTGGAGGCCCACTCTAAAAGTGGGTGGTCCCGTGCTCTGAGCTTGGATCCTGAACTGTATGGAAAGGAGGAAGCCAGCTGAGCATCAGCACTCACCTCTGTCTGCTTCCCGGCTGAGCTGCTTATGACCAGCTGCCAAGGTCCTGCTGTTATGACTTCTCCACCACCAGGGATTACACCCTTGAACTGTGAGGCTGAGTTAACCTTTTCCACCTTCAGTTGATTTTGTGAGAAAATTTTGTCACAGCCAGAGGAAGAGCGACTAATAAAGACATCTCAGTCGGGATCCTTTCTAGCCCCAGGAATGATTTCTTGAATGCACGTGGGGTTCAGGTGTAGCTCAGCCTGGAAGGGTTCACCTAGAAGGGAGTCGGTTGACCCAGGTATGAGTCCTGGGGTTTGAACTCAGGTCGTCAGGCTTGGCAGCGAGCGCCTTTACCAGCTAAGCCATAGTACCAGCCTCTGCTGCTTGTCATTCCCGAGAGCAGAATCTCTATGGAAACCGTAAACACAGCGAAGAGCAAGGGCCAGTGTGCTGACGTTTTGCCCGGTGCTGTTGAATGGCAGTGGACAGTCTTAATTCTATTGATTAGGAACTGTCAGATGAACTATGCACCTACTCCACAAGCGGCTTGGTCCTCCCATAGTAAGACTTTTCTACCCCTCCCCATCCATGGAGGAGCTTCCTGAAAGAGGATGAACCACGTGGGAGATTCAGGAGAGTCACGGTTTCACCTAAGCTTCCACTATCCTCCCAGTATTTCTTGCATGTGGCTTGTTGGATGAGCGTTTAAAGCAAGTGTATAAAATCTTCAAACATGTAGATAGCCTTCCAAATCTCCTGAGCTAACTACCATTGTCAAGAAGCTTGAAGAAGTAGATATTCTTCCCTAGGACAGAATATTCAGAAAAACAGAAGGAAAAATAAACCGAAAGGAATATTATAGCAAACAACAGTGAGCTTTAAACAACAGAACTCTGGGACCCACAGTAAGATGGAAACAAACTCCAAACCATTGCATTCCTTTTCTGGAGCTCAACATCATGATACTTTATGAAATATTAATAGATACTGAAATATTAATAGATAATGAAGTTCAAGAATTTCAATTCCTAAATAGACACCAGTACACAATCGGCAAGAAAACAATTTTTTTCAACAAAAAAGAGATAGATTTATTTTATGTACAGTGTTCTGTCTGTATGTACACCTGCAGGCCAGAAGAGGGCGCCAGATTTCCATTACCATAGGTGAGCCACCATGTGGTTGCAGGGAATTGAACTCATTACCTCTGAAAGAACAGCCAGTGCTCTTAACCTCTGAGTCACCTCTCCAGCCTTAACTTTCTTTCTTTCTTTCTTTCTTTCTTTCTTTCTTTCTTTCTTTCTTTCTTTCTTCCTTCCTTCCTTCCTTCCTTCCTTCCTTCCTTGTAGTGAACATGCCAAACTGCGAATAAAGAACTGAAAAAGAATTTACCCTCTTTGCCTTCTCTAGGACTCAGAAGTCAGAAGCAAACAGCATGAAAGGAAGAGCACATTAGGAGCTCTTACCAGATAGGGGACCATCTGGCATGTCAGCCCCAGCTTGGGGAAGCCCAGCTCTCACTGGGTGTGTGAGCAGCTGTGTTTGCCTGGGCAGCCCAGTCCTAGGACACAGAGGAGAGGCTGCGGGTCCGTTTCAGATGCTGCAAGAATAGAGCCTGCAACCCACAGCTCTAGATTTCGGAAATCTGTACTTTTTACTCTTAAACGTTTGCTGGGCTTCCCTCTCTGTAGAGTTTCGTCAATATACAGTTTCATCTTGACTCATTTCTCTTTATGATCATTTCTGTGAGCAGGGAAGGCGATCACACCCTTTAATGCCTCTCTCCAGGCCAATGCAATGCTGTTCTTTAGTACCGAGGTTAAAATACTTCAGTAATCTCTTGTAAAAGTACATCATCTCTGTAATTAACAAAAGTTCATTACAGGATTGAGAGGTATCTGGTGACATGATGAAAGACAGGCCAAACTCTCTGGTTTTACTAAGAATTCTCCCTTCTTCCCTCATTCCTCCCTTACTGCCTCCTCCTTCCTTCTCCCTCTGAGCTCTCCCCCTCTGTTTCTGTCTCTTCCTTCCTTTCTTTTTTTCTTTCCTTTTCTTTTTAAAGATGATCTCAGCCTGGAATAAACATTCTTGCGAAACTGGCGAGGAATTCTGCCAAGCCCAGGGCTGTGCACGTCAGCTGTTCTCTGGAAAATAATTACGCCATGTGACAATGTCTATTATTTTAATTAGCGCTGAGGCACGCCTCCCAGGCATTTCATCAGGCCCGGGCTTCTTGCAGTGGCACTGGCTTTTTAGTTCCTGATAGGCCGATGAAGCAGATGAATGACATCTGATATTTTTGTCGAGCTGAGCAAAATGATTGTTGTGATTATTCAGCCAGAACTTGAGGAGGTTAGAAGCGTTCCCCACGACACAGGCGGCTTTGGGACAAGCAGCCGTGGTGCTTAACACGTCCAGTCACTCACAGAAAATGTTAACCAAACCCTTCCTTCCGGGTGTTTGGGGATTGCTTTGCCACCAAGTTCCCAGAGCTTCTTCTCACCTCGGGTATTTGTATTTCCGGGATATGTACGTGTTCCTGTGCTAAACTCCAGATGTATTAATTCCAGGATCTGAAAGTCATTCTGTGAAACTATATTGAGAACAGACATTCAGCAATGTTTAAAAACAATGTTTTTACTAGTGGGAGATAGGGGGACAGAAACCTATTTCCAGCCCCCTACTGAGCCCTAGCACTGCCGTAGGGTGACCTGAAGCCTGAAACGAGAATGAGAAGGAAATGGTCTGGATTGTTCTGCAGTGTCTCCCAGAAACATTCTGATTCCGGAAAACAGCAAAACAAATGCTTACATTGTGTTCTCTAGGTGGCCCAAAC